AACAAATTTGTGAGCAATATGTGTATTCAAGACATAAATTGGGCAAAAGCAAAATCGTAATGTGCTCAAATACATGATTTATGAATCAAGAACTTGAGCAGAACAGCAATAACAATAGATAATAAGGAAAAGCTTTCTCAGAAACTGAAACTAGGAGGAACAGTGGCTTACCAGACAAAGTGAAATCGGTGTGAGGATCGCCGAAGTCAAACAGCGGTTGCAAATGCGATGAAGTGGTGAAAAACACGCGGGAAGAGATGAATACAGCAAGTTCCAGAGCTAGGAAAGCTTGAACAATGGTAGATCTTTGGAAAAAAAAACAGAGAGAGAAAAAGCTTCAGAAACAATGGTGAAAAGTGAAAAGACGGGGGGAGGAAGGAAGTTTTGTTAAAACGCAAAAACCGCAGCAAAGAGGCCATTAATGTGCCTAAAAGAGCGTATGCGTCAGACGGCGCACGCGAGAAAAATTCGACTTACAGGCGCGTAATAGGTACGATCTAGTAAGGGGTAGACGCGTGTCCTAAACGTTTGAGTTACTATGCATAACAGCTCATACGCGTGAAGGAGCTCTTGGAATTCATGTTCTGAAGAAGACATGCCGGCCTGGAGAATGATCTCGGCTGAGGTAATAGAACTGAGTGGTGGTTCTAAAGAATTGATAAAGAGCAAACTATAGGTCTTGGTTAAACTGAGTCAACGAGTTTTTACTTCGGCAATGAATAAAGAAGCAAGCTTAGCCGACGTTCTAAAAGGTAGAACTGGTATAGGTTCCATCACCTCAGGATGCCGAGGTAATAGAACCTAGGGGGTAGTTGTGGGGATATATTTTCTGAGTACGAACACGTGACCGAGGTGATGTCGACGTGTCAGCCGGGATGCCACGTGTCCTCTTCGTGACGCCGAGGTGATCTCGGCTAGGCCGAGGAGATCTCCGAAGATATCGAAATCCAGGATAAGCGGATAAGGGACAAGAGTCCTAGAATGAAGAAGGATTTCAGCTTAGATAAGGATAAAGCTCTTAGAGAGTTTATCTTTATCCGTCAGAGAGTCCAAGATGAGCATTGAGCTAAAGTCCATGGAAGCTAGACTTCTATTGGGGCTAGGATTGTGTAAACTATAAAAAAGAGAGACACCCCCATGGGTCTAAGGTACGCAATTTATATTTTGAACAGTGAATTAAGCACTTGATTTATCTTTGAGAGATAACTGACTTGATTATCGGAGTACCCCCTGGTGGACGAACCACCGCCAGAATCTCTTTTTTCTGTTGCAGGTCAATCAGGCGCCATCTATTTTGCCAGTGTTCTCCAGCTGAATACTGAGTTGGCAATGTGGTCAGAAATTCACTCACACACCAAATTTTATAGTAATTTTTTAAACATTCTTACTACTTCATATAAATCACTTCTTACATTAAATTAAAAATTTGATAATATCAAACTACTTCAACCAACATAATCGAATAGCTTATCATCATATTCATTAAGGCTATGTTTGGCATTTCTTAAAAAAGTCAAAAAGTTAAAAAGTCACTATTTAAGTCATATCACCTATCTATCACATCATTTCAAACCCAACTCATATTTAATAAAAAGTCAAAAAGTACACTTCTTTAAAATATTCCAAACAACTCCTAAATCTCTGGGGTTTACGTCTCATATTTTGATGAGTATGGAATTCAAAATCAAGATCATGAGTTTGATAAAGGATCTGGCTTCCCACCAGCTCTAGATCAAATTAGAGGGTATTGTTAGGCTCGTGGAGGCCTATCACAGGTCCTGTTTCAATAATATGAATCATTCAATATGTAAAATTCGTAGAGTACTACGTGTCTGTAAAAAATCACGTTGATCGAATATCGATAGTTATGTAATCAAATCAGTTTTGCATAAAAAAAAATGGACGATGAAAAAATAAACGGTTAACAAAAATCTAATCCGCTGAAATAGCTATCAATATCCGATCAACTTGATTTTTTACAGATATAAAGTACTCGACGAGTTCTACACATTGAACGGTTAAGATTATCAAAATGGAACATGTGGTGAGCTCTACAAGCCCAATAGCACCCTCTAGTTGGATCTGGAACTCGAGGAAAGCCATTCTCTTTGATAAATAGGACACTTTATCATTTGAGATCATGTTTGAAAAGTTGAATTTGGACTAAAATAATTAATAAAGATAAAATAAGTTAAACTAGTTAAAGACAAAATATTATATCAAAATCATATTAATCATTTTATTATTTCTCTCACAATTATCAAATTAATTATAAAAAAAATGAGCTAATTATATTTTTAAACACAACTTTTTCAGCTAGACTAAGACATCGTTTGTGAACAAACTGTTTTAGTATTTTTTTAATTTTTTACGAAAAAATATATAAAAAAATAAAAAGAGAATGATGTGATAATTTATAATAATTTTTTAATTTTTTAACTAAAATATATAATTGAGAAACGATACTTAAAATAACTAAAATAACACATGAGCTTGAGTAACACATATATGTATACATTTGTTTGTTTGTCATTATTATTTTAATATTATTCTTTTAGAAATGTTGCCTATTTTGATAACACGACTAAAAATCAATTTTTTTGAGTTATTAACTTTTTTTTAAATTGCATTACCTTTTTATTTTTATTTTTTTTTTGCACGTTTTTTAAAAGCAATTAAAATGTCAATTTCTAACTGCACGTTTTTTAAAAACAATTAAAATATCAGTTTCTAACCCAATTCTCAAAAAAAATCATAATTAAAGGGCGTTGGTGTAATTAAAAATAATTTAGAATGATTTAAATAACGTACTCCCTCTGCTTTAAAATAATAATTTTTTTTAGAAAATTTAATTTTTTTGATAGTATAATTATTACATTTTAAAAAAATTAATTTTCTAGAATTACTTTTTTATAGTATATTTTTTGGAAGAACATCAATGTTATAATTATACTTTTTATGTTATTAATGAATTTATAAAAAAATAAAATAAAAAGGGAATTTTTTTTTTAAGGTTCCTGATATTAAGATTTTATAGTATAAAGGACACTCAATATTTTTATAATGTCTAAGGTCCCTCAATATCGATCCAGAGAAAATTCAATCCAGAGAATTTCTCTGGACAAATCACAGAAAAAATTCCAAATTTCTCTGGACACATCACAGAGAAAATTTCAAATTTCTCTAGACCAACACCAAATTTCTCTGGACACATCACAGAGAAATTTTACACATCTCCAACACCAAATTTCTCTGGATGAGAATCTGAGAAAGAGCACAGATTATGATGTATTACCACCACAGAAGAAGAGCTGAAGAAGAACCTAACTCATCAAGTAAATTGAGAGAGAGAAAGAGATCTTTCAAAACAGCTTTCAAAAAGTATCCATAGATATTTGTAAAAGCTCTGATCAACAATGGACTTTTTTAATATTCCCTTCCAACCTAGAGAAATTTACAAAACCCAAAGAAAATTACTTTCAACCCAGAGAAATTATGAACTTCCCAAAGAATTTCTCTAAGTTCAACCCAGAGAAAATTGAAATTTCTCTGCAGAGAAGGAGGTCTTGGAAAAAAAACAATACAAGCTACACCAAATTTGTAGATTCTTAGGAAGACGATAAACACCAACCCAAAAATTACAAAGTCTTCCCAAAGTGAATGCATGTACATACTAAATACAAACATATGGTAAATAACTGACATAATTCAAAATGAGGAAAAAACAAAGAATAGGATTTCCAGAGAAAATTTGATCCAGAGAATTTCTCTGAATTTCCAGACTGTTCAACAATATTGTGCCTATAGCTGTCAAATTATTTTTGCTGGCTCTGGCTTTTTTGGTTCATATGCTTTTAATTGACTTCCGAAACTTTGGAGGCAAGAAAAAGGCAAAAGTGTTGTCGATTTGCATAGTATTTATGTGGTTAGAAAAGAATGCAATGATTTTTTATAAAATAATTTGGGGATGTTAATTTGTTTTGGGATAGTGTCTTTTTGCATCATTTTGGGCATCTGTTTCCCCCTGTTTAAAGAGAACTCGTTTTTTTCTTATTTCTATAAATTGAACGTTTGTTTTTGAAACATAGCTTTTGTTGTTTCAGCCGCCTCAACATGCAAAACTAGCAGAATTACTTGAAATCTGACAACCAACTGTATGTAGACACCATTAGCTACAAATGTAAATCTAAACTATTAACTTCTTGCAATTATTACTCCTAGAAACAATTAATGACAAAATTATGCATTCCAGATATTCATTTGACAGAAAATACCAAGCAATCAAACAGAATTAAGAATCAACAAGCTCGTCTAATCACATAAACACATATATACATGCATATACACAAAAAATAATCATATATAAAACTAACTGTAATGAGAATATAGTGAAGTATAAACAATCCGAAAGCAATGCGTTAAGTTAACAAATTGAGTACTGCATCAAGGCAGTGCAGATAGAATTGACCTTCCTCAGTCTGGACATTAAGAAATGTACGTGAATGGCCAAGATCCACTGCGGAACTGGAGGCGGCGACGGCCACCACAGACTCTTTATGCTGCACCATCTCCACCATTCCTCTAGCCTTCGAAGAGCAGCAAAGCACGACGAAGTACAAAAACTGGCGAACGCTCGATCGAAGAGGCAATGAGCAGGAGATCAAGTTGAGCTTGGAAGAGGAGGAGACTGAAGATGATAAAGAAACCCTAGCTGTAGTGGAGAAGACGTAGGGGAAGCAGTTCTCTTATATGTCAAATTTGTCTGTGATATATGTGGGTTGGATTAAGGAACTTTAGACATTACAAAATAATATTGTAAATCTCTTTCATTACTAAAAGGGAGATAGGACTTTAGACTAATTTTTCCTATAAAAAATTTATATTATTTTTATATTTAATTTTTAAAAATAAATTAATATTTTAAGATAATAAAAAATAAGATAATGTATTAATATTTTGATACGGAGTATATTTTAACTTTGTATTGAAAGGGACGAAAAGATAAAACTCTTAATCCTTGCAAGAATTACCCTAATTATCTACAAAATTCCCGCGAATTTCTAACCGAGAAACCCTTTCACTAAAAAGACTTCAGTTCGACAATCCAACTCCGAATTCAGAAACCCATTTGCGAAAAATGATCAGAGACGATCTCTCAGACTCTGACACTCAAGAATACGATTCAAATTCCAGTTCGGAAGACCTCGAAACCCCAAACAATGGAGACACCCAGAAGATGTCAGAGTATGAGAAGCAGAGGATGAAGAGGATGGAAAGTAACAGAGCAAGAATGGAGGCTTTGGGGCTGCAAAAGATGGCTTCTTCGTTAATGGGTTCGGTGAAGAAGACCGAACCGAAAGGGAAGGCAAAGATCGTTGAGGAAGATGAGGAGTATAAGCCTCCTGAGATGGATGAGGGGTTGAGCTCTTCAAGCGATGATGAAGAGTTTGTCGCTATTTTTATCTTAGCAGGGTGATCTCTCTCTCTCTCTCTCTCTCTCTCTATTATCTGTTTGGTTGCTGAGAAAATAGAAGAAGAGCAAACAACTTTAAAGTATCGAATTTTATGTTCAACATTGTACAGAATATATACTCAATTACATATACATATATAAAAGCATTTTCCAACCCTTCATAAATTATTTCATCTAATTTGATTTCAAATTTGAGTAAAAAGATTGTTTTGAGTAAAAAGATTGATTTGATATGAACTACTCCAATCCTTTTATCAAATTATCCCAAATTTCACTTTTCATCAAATTTGATGAAAAAAAAAAACTCCAATGCTTCATCTTTTTAAATTTTAATCATACTTATATTTGATGAGTTCTCAATTTGATGGAAAAAAATGACTCTTGATTTGATGAACATTTGATGAAAGGATTGGAGATGATTTTTTAGCACTTTAAATTTGATGAAAGAAATGGTGAAGGATTGAAGATGCTCTTACTAAATTAAATCATTGTATTCAGCAAAATTGGTTGGAGGGTTTTTGTTTCTCTAATTGTTTTCCTTTCCCACATTTTGATTAAAACTAAAAATAGTTTTAGAGCAGTCCACTCCTATTTCTTAGTTTGCTCTCCTCTTTCTATCCATTTTACTTCTAAAATCACTGGAATTCTCTCCTTCATTCAGTGGTTTTATGCCCTATTCAAGAGACTGCAATGTTTATCTTCCTAATATTTTGTTTTATAAAAACCCATACTTCTTTGTTGTTTTTATTTGAATAAAAGTTTTAAAATTGATTTTGTGAGTCACACCATCTTATCAGATTCTCACTTTTCCAAATAAAATGTGCCAACAATAGTTATCCATTTCTTGAAGCCAATTTAGGTATTTATTGATTTCTACTAAACTTTAGTGATCATCTCTCTCAGATGGTTACTTTGGATATTTTCCATGGATATGATAGATTCTTTGAGTTCAGTTCACGCATGCTACTACAGTCATCCAGTGCAAAAGAGTTCCATATTATTTATATAAAAATAAAATAAAAAAATGTTCATCGTCTCTCAATAGAAATAATAGCATCAATGAAGTATTGTACTTGTTTTTTTACCAATATTAAGTCTCTTCTACACAAATTTAGCAGAGCAATATTTACTGAGGTGTGAGCTAGCTCAGTTGGTGAAATCTCTTGGTTGTCATATGAGAGAGACCTAGGGTTCAATTGCATCTTCATCTGGGTTTGGGGTTGTCAACAAGAAAAATGGCACTCCTCCCTGTTCAGAAGAGCAACATTTTCTGAAAGTTGTAACATTTTCATCCAATCACAGTTTTGTAGAATAATTGCATTAAAGAAACGAAACTTGTTTAGAAGAACAAACTCAATGATAAGATGAAAGTCAATAGTAGAAAAATAGTAAAGGCAGGTCTTTAGGAAGTTTTAGATTGCAACATGCTCTAATGCCTTGTCTTCGTCAAGAGAACAAAAAAACTGGTTTAATGATATATTTAGGTGCATGTCACATGCAGAAGACAACACATTTTTGTTCTTTACTATTACATGCCTATATTCTTGATTGTGCATGTCTGAATTGTCAGATGCTCTTTTCACTTTTTTGCCACCATTATAATTGTAATTTTGTATTGATTCAGCATTTCCTGTTGTAACTGGAATTATTAAACTAGTTCTGATAACAGCTCTGTAATGTGATGAACACTTAATGTTTAAATTCAAGCATATCGCCTTGATTTTCTCTCATTCCAGGTAAAGAAAAAAAATTTAACGCCTAAGAGTAAAGTCCCTGCCCAGAAGCTTATGAGCGACTCAGATTTTGTTGATGACGATGAGGCTTTAATGCAAGTAAGTAGGTTCTTGTACATGTTCTGCAAATTTTTACCAGAAGAACAGCACTAAATCATCACTATATTGATGTAGGCAATTGCTCTTTCACTAAAAGATTCTGTAGAGTGTTCAGATGTCGGGTGCAGTGGAATTTCTCAAAGTGCTGATTTGCATTTGACTGATGGTATGATTAATGAAAGAAAGGGAAAAGCCCTGAGTCAGGAAGACACAAGAAAGAGGAAGAGAAAAAAACCGGTTTGTTTTGTGCTTGGGTTAGTGAGTTTCTAAAAGAGGCTGGCTTTGTTTCTTTCGTTTTCTCATCTTACTTGCGCTTTCCCATTTGTTGTCAGCAGGTTACTAGTCGAGTGCAAATGACTGAGGATGAGTTGGTTCTACACTTCTTTCAATTTGATGGTAAGCTCAAGTTCCTTCTGAGACCAACAAAATCAACCAAAGAGTACTTGAAACTAATTTCTGTGGCCATCATGTCATATGTGTATGTGTGCTATGTGATGTAAAATGTTGTGTTTATCCCCTGATTGTTGTGTGAACAGTTTTCAATAAAGTTTTCTACTTCAAATCAGTTTTGTCCTTATGTGTAGGCTAACAAACTGAGTAAAGGTGGTAATATTTGATCTAGTAATTTTAAACAATATTCCCTTATATTTAATCTAGAAAGTGTGATTTTGGTTGTGATCTCATATTTACCTGGTATATGTCTTGAATTTAGAAAAACCTGTGGGGTAATGGTTGAAATTTGAAGCATGCAACACATAGAGTAGTAACAAATTTTTAGTGTTAAATTTTCATTGTTGAGCTAGTAGTAGTATGAGAATCCAAGCATGAGGAAGTAATGTGGAATACCCCTGCAATTTTGTGGAAATGATACGATCTCATTATGTTTATCATTTTAATTTTTGAGAAGTATAAATTGTCAAATTTATGATTGATCCAAGCGTTTGGGAACTTACTATATTCGAATTTCTCTGTGGAGTGCTTAATTCATGGTCTCAGTTCACATCACTTCATTTTTATTTTTGGAGCCCACTATTGAAAACTGCACTCTCCTAATCTTTGAAGCTCTATCTGATGGTGAGACCTTTTGTCCTCTTGGACCTTTTTCTACCAAAACATCGTGCTTAGCTGCTGTTGTATTTTGCTTCTCACTTCTTTGATGGCTGAATGCCTGAAACCATTTCTAGAAGCTGTGATGCACCTATGCAAAGAGTGTTTTCACTCCTCATGAATCCAGCCTATATTGCATGGACTTGGGAATGGGTGTCGGATGCAGTTCAATTCATCTAATTCCCATGTTCAATTCATCAATTCATAAAATATTCATGTTCCTTAATTTACTTCTTTTATTTTAGAAGGTAAAATGGTATTCACAAAGTGTCATAGAGCATTTCATGCATAATAATTAATATGCGTGATAATTAATTTACTTCTTTTATTTTATAAGGTAAAATGGTGTTCACAAAGTGAGCATTTCATGCAAAATAATTAATATGCGGGTTTTATGCATCATTTTATTGTTAAAACTTGAATTACTAAATATGTTTGTTAAGTAAATATGCAATTACACATGTCGGACACATATCCCATACCCTTAATCCAAGGGTCGAGTGTCCAACACAGATACTTCATATATTTACGTGTGATGTAAAATCCAGTTTTGCAGTTTCGTTGTATAAAGATCTATATATACCTGTTTTCAAAAAATTGTGCTTGTTTTCCATAGTAGTAACAATTAAAAAATAACCACCTTAGTTGTAAGATTTGGTTTGATGAACTATTCATATATGCCTTCTATTACCCCTTTTAATATCACAAAACTATATAATAATTATAAAGTCTTCATTCATTTCTATAAAAGCAATGCATTTGAAGAACTTCTGTTTGAATGGACTCTTCTTTTTTCTGTACTGTGTTTATATCTCTTGTGCATTGATGAGGTGAAATGCTGCTTGACAGAATCAGGGAAAGGGGGCATATCTCTTCGAGACTTAAAAAGAGTAGCAGCCGCTCATGATTTTACATGGAAAGACAATGAGATGGTTGATATGATCTATTGCTTTGATAGCAATGGGGATGGAAAGGTAAATTCTGGCTCTTTGTCAGTATATGTTGTTGGCGAACATTCAAATCTGAAAAAGGCTTTCTTGAAATGCCATTCTTCTTCAAAGAGAATTATGGGTTTGATTTCCAGACAGTGCAAATCTGGTGGAAGTACCAAAATTTGAGAGAATTAAAAATTAACTTTATGCATAGGTTTGAGGTAGTAAATTTTGTAAGGTTATTAAGGAAAGGATAAATCATGACTTGTGAGATTCTTTCTGGTTTTCTTCTTTATTCTTGTAAACATAGTATCTTTTTAAAAGGTATGTAGCTGAATTTTTCTGAAATGACCTGAAAACTAGAGATATCAATGTTTGATCATGTTCGAATTAAATGTAAGCAAGTTGTAATTAACCATATGCTTTGCACCTATGTTCTGTATTTTGGGAGCATGATTAGTAACTGTAAATTTTGGTGTATGTACACTATTTGTTGTTTGGCCATCACAAGTATGTTATGCATGATTTAATGAGTTCCCATGTATCTGTTTTTTTTTTTGAGGTAGTAATTAATATCATGTTTTAATTTCCTTGCTAACTGTGGTTTATTCTTGACTGTTTTGATTTTGTTCCAAATTTCAGCTGAGCCTTGATGATTTTCGGAAGATTGTTGGTCAATGCAACATGATACAAGTTTCCGAAAATTCTGTGATAGGTTCAAAGGCACGATAGCTCGCAAAACCTGGACTCTGGAAAACGTTTGTACGTTGCTAACCTCTTATTCTCCTCCTATCTCTGAGTTCTTGAATTGAGGAGTTAAAGATGGTTCTTCTCTACGATGGCAGGCATCTGTGTCATCCTGGTATGCTGAGGGGCAAAGAATCTTGTATTATTATTTTTGTTTGTTTGTTCAAAGAAAGTAAAATGGAACTGTGGTTTTTTTAAATCTTTGTATGATTTGTGAGTTTAGTTTTGTCGAAGAATATTTGCTTGTTAGCTTCATAGATCACGTTAGTTGGATTTGAGATTAAAAGCATCTTGAAAAAAGCTCAACCACACAATTTGATAGAAGATGAAGAGACTATTAAGATAGAATGCTTGATCATCTTCAACCTAAAGCACCTTCTCACAATTGATGAAAGATCACCAAGAATTCTGGACAAAAATCAGTGCTAGTTTAGAATTAGCTCATAATTGTTTTGATTGTGACATTTGTTTTTTGGCTTTTGGGAAAAAGGTTTGTAAACAGTTGATTCAATCAAATTTAGCAGTGGATTGAATGGTTGCAATTGTTTCACAATACTACTGATGGAGAACCTTCTTAAATTACCGAGATGCGTGTTAACAAGGCAGCTGTCACACAATACTCTTCCAGTCTTGCCCATGCAATTACACTCAAAAACACAAACAAAAGAAAATCAAAATCAAACCCGTTAGCGCATGTCTGTTAAAGTCAATTACTACATGACAGCTAATGCAATACAAAGCTTTGTCCTATGTTGATCACACATTGGTCTTCTTCAAAGTTCTGTATCATTTTAAACATGGGATAACACCTGATGATCAAACAAACGGCAAAACTCCAGGGGGTCGGTCATGTTCTCTTAAGAAGATAACCCACAAGGATGCCAAGCACGCCAACAATGACGACAAACATGAATGAAATACCACCACGGCTTTTCTTGCTTTCTCGTCGCAAGAGCTCCTGCACATGATAAGCCCAAATTAAGTCATACAATAAAAGCACTTTTGTGATGCTGTTAAAGTAATATTTTGCGTGTAAAACCATTACTTACAAGATCTACATATAAAAGATCTAATAACCCGTTAATTAGGCAATCTTATTTCTATCAACTGGAACTATTGTTAATATTAACAGAAAATTGCAGAATTAGTGTACATTTCACATGGTTGATGAATTTACTGTTTAATAGGCCTACTGAAATGAAAATATTACATAAAAATGTAATATATATCTAAAAAAAGTCATTGACACTATTTCCAACAAGCCGAGTGTACATTTCATCCAATAGAGATCACTATGTATGTTTAGTCACACTCATCAAACATGCACCCATGGATATCATTCATCATAAATTATTAGGGAAAGGGATGATAAGTTCAACTCATTGTAGGACTAATATGCAAGACGCTAAAGAAAAAATATTTAATTGCCTATCCAAAGCTAAAACACTTGTTGAGATCCCTTTATTTTTGGCTAGCGAAGACGTTTTCTATTTTTCTTGATTTGTTTCAAAACAATTGAGAGACATGAAATTACAGGGGTTGCAATCCTTTGCGTGCTTTCTCTAAGAATGTGTTACCCATAAAAAGGTCAATATTCTGTAAGCCCATAGATGATCACAAATGAAGTTTAAATATGTTAGTTGTGGTACAAAGTACACACAAATTTCTGTTTATCAGAATGTCTGAAATCATGTAAATCTCTCTCTCCTCCACGAGATCACAAACATTTACAATAGTCTAAATGCATTAGTATATTTATGAGCATTTTATGGCATCCAAAGGAGCAACGAAACAAAATCAATTGTAAGAAGATTAAAAGATTCTGCCACAAACCCTCCAGAAAAGAGATGCAACAAGATGGTGCTCCATCTTTCCCATAAGTTCTGAGCATTTATATGTTTCCAGTATAAGGGATGCATCTATTAGGAGGGTTGGTTCTTCAAAAGAAGTATTCACAAACTGAATCTCTTACCAGTTCTTGCTGAAGCTTGTTAGTTTGCTGAAGCGCAGATTTTTTCTCCTCGGTCAGCTTAGAAATAAGAGCTTTTACCTGAAATAGAATGAAGTGTTGCTTAATTATATTATACAGTACTAATTCTATGACCATAGTCATAGAATTTTAAAAAATAATAAATTCTATGATCATAGTCTATGCAAGAATCAAAGTAGTTGCCATGATTTAAAAACTTAAAACCCATTTAACTATACCACAGAAATTGCTTTCTGGACTCAGTAACAATATCTAACCGCCCACATGAACCAGAAAAATATCCAAAATGGGGTTTTGCAGTCATCAAATAGAACATGGAAACTAATTGAATTATAAATGCAGGTTTTATAGAGTCAGGTTCTCTGGACAGTATCCTATAATTACAAGTACCACCAGTTTGAAGAAGTGTACTTAGGACAAGGTATCGTATACCCAAAGAAGACCAATACCAAAGGTCAGGAAGTTTACAAAGTCACATGCTTCAGAGTAATCTGACACATTTTAAAAGATACAAGATTTCCAATAATGGACCATAGAAGCAATTTCTTCACAACCAACTCTTATGACAAACAACCATTCAATGTCCTGAAATTCCTATGAATTAGTATTATCACAAATTTATATGCAATAGATGACTCTTTTTACCCATGCACTCACAAAGCATTCAAAAATAAGACAATGCACCAAACACAAGAAGGATGGTATCTTGCAAGGATGAACATAGGTAAAAAATTTAAAATTCAACAAACAAATTAGATTAAAACCTAATAGACAGAGAAAAGGGGAAGTATGCATGCATACATCAGATTGAGAGGTCAATCAAAGACCTCAATTCTTGAAGATTATTTGGTATAGGAAAAGTGCAAATAAAGCCTTCCTAAATTGGCAAATGGTCACTAGTAACTTCCTAATCAGATGTATATTGCTACAGCAAAACCAAAGATGCTGCATGAGGAAAACAATATGAAAAAGCTGCCTGTGTGCAACAGAGAGCTATTAAATCTAACCACTTGAAAGTGAAAGAACAATTCTGCAATCAAAGAAGCTTTCTAAGTCACTAGTGTTACTTTCACATTTCGACCATAAAATATTAATTTCACCCTTACCTAAGCATCAACTGCCAGTCTAGCAACCCCAAGTTTCTAAAATATATTAATCTACATAAAGAATTCAAGTTACTGAATTATAAGGCCGGAAACAAAAATATAGGCATGCTACATCAACCTAAAGTTGCAAGTACAATATTCCTAAATATAATTTCAATTAATGTAGAATAACAAAGATGCACTTTGGAAGAGGCTAACACAAAAATATGGGTTTACCAGCCTCAAAGAGAGATAATTGGGATGAATCGCATGGTATAATTGGGCTCTTAAAATGAAGGAACTATAAGCAAAGACAAGGAAGATAAATGCCGAAGGATGATATCTCTAAAGGAAATTCAATACACACAAGAGAATTAGATAGTTACATCTCCTTCATAGTAAGCCAAGACATGGAAAAAAAAAAGGTTTATATGTAGAAATTTAAGATAGTAATTAAGCATTTGAAGGAAAATGACTGAACAACAATAATCTCATAGACCCAAGAAAGAACAACTATTAGAAGCACAAACCTGAAGCAAATTTTTTTTTTTAAAAAAAAAAAAAAAGAAAAAAGAAAAAAGAAAAAAAAAGCAAAGGTATGAAAAATAAAACATACTGTTCAAACTCAAGAGGTCCAAAAATCAAATGTACCAAATTTACAAATAAGTAGAGCACATACAGTCTCCTCTAAATGGAAGATGTTAACCAATTAGCAAAAGCACATTATATTAAAGTAAATTCCAAATAAAGGAAACTACAAGTTGACAATAAATGTACATGATATATGCTTTCAATGTTTAAGTTCCAACTTATGATGAGACTATGGCGGTGTTTGGCAACAATTTTTTTCGGGTTTTTTTTTTTCACTAAAAGACAATTTTTTTGTAAAACAACAAAAAACAAATCCAAACAAACTATCACATCAAATCCCATAATCATTTCACTTTTTCTCTCACAAACATCACATCCAACCACAAAAAAACCCAACTATCTTCCCAAACACAAATTTTTTTTTTCTCCAATAATATCTTACAACTAAAAAAACCTACATAAAAACCCACTTTCTAAACACCCACTATACCAAGCTAAAAATAGATACCCAAAATGCAAATTTGCTTGGTAATGATTATTAATTAAAATACCTTCTCAAATATCCACGATAAACTATCATATAAGCATGCCAATCCAGAGGCCATATATGGGAAAGGTTTAAAAAATAAAAATAAATAAAAATTAACCTCTGAATTATTATCTTGAGGCTCAACATGTGCCCTTTCCACAAATGCTCTTGGAGCCTACAAACAAAGTTACACAAGTGTGTCAAAATGTAATCTGGTGAGAGGCAACTTTAAAAACACAACAGACAACTTCATCTCAAGTTACCACTGATGACATCTCAAATACTCACAGCAGTATATTCAGGTGTATTTACAGTCCCATTGTCAGATACCGAAGCCCTTGGTGAAGAACCTTCCTCTGATCCTTCTCGCACTGGTGATGGTGGTTGCGGTGGAGGGACATAAGCAACTCTCAACTTAGATTCCTCGACTTGGTTCCCAGAGTCTTTGTTGAACTTTAAAATTAAAAAACATATAAATAAATAAACAAAACAAAACAATTATATGAGCAACAACACATTGTTTCAGATTTTTGGATCTTGCACACAAAATTATATAACAATTTCACAATTACCATCTCTGGAGTGATATCCTTTGCGGTAGCTCCAGGACCAACAACTGCGCTTTGAAGTAAGAACTTGTCCTTGCATTGCATGTCAGGAGGAGCCTCCTTTTGTGCTTGCATTGTCACTAAACCACACATTTTTTTTACAATTAATCGCCAAATAGAGAGAGAGATTTGATATCGATAATTAACAAAGAGCAATACTTCTCTATCCCAAAAGTTAGACCTACTTTTCAAACTTAATAATCTGACAGTCTATTAAAATATCTAAAACAGCTCTCTCTATCTCATGGATTCTCTAATCATCGGCTTATCATATCTTTTACCCATCATTAGGTCTTAGAAATAGGTCTAGAAAGTGCATACTACTGAAATTTTAGGAGTACGATGTACTCCAATTTGAAATTATCTTACCAATTACTAATATAATGTACATACCCCCCTAGATCCATCCTTGGGTGTGCTTCTACATCTGTGAAATATAAAGTTTGATAGCATAATTAACAAAAGAGTAGTGCTACTCTAACACAATAGTTAGACCTACTTTTCAAACCCAATGTGATAGTCTATTAGAATATCTGAAGCCCTCTCTCATATATCCTCTAATCATCAGACAATCCTATCATTTACCCATCCTTGGGTCTAGAAAGTGAATATCATTTTCCTTAACAAAAATGGTTGATAAGCAGATGAAAATTATGGTAAGAAACACAAATTAAAATGAAGAATTGAAAATTAAATAATTAAAAAAAAAACTAAATAGCAAAATTGCAGAGAGAGAGAGAGAGAGAGAGAAGAGAGAGACCTATAACATCGCATGAAGAGTGTGGCAACACGATTCCAGTGTTAGGCCTAACACAATACTTCTTCGGATTCGTCGTTTTGACCTAAAAAATTCACAAATTCACGAATCAAAAAAATTACACATTTCCAAATCTCTAGGGCTTGATAAATCTCCCAAATCACTTTCACGAAATCATTACAACAAAATCACATACAAAAAATCAAAAATTGATTATACCTTGAAAGCAACCGTATTATCAGAATTGTTCAATAGTTGCAGAGAACACGAGATCTGCTTCTTCAATTCAACTTTTTTTTTTTTCCAAAACAAAAACACAAAATCTTTTTTTAAAAAGCACAGATCTGAATCCAAAAGCGAATTGTTGTATAAAGGAGAGTTTAAAAGTATTAAAATTATGAGAGAAAGTTTACATGGAAATTGAAGCTCCTGAGGTTCGATGCTGAGAAGCTCTCCGGTACTCATTTTCGAAGCGATCGGTGATTCTATCACCGAAGCGTGGTTTCAGGTGAAAGAAGTGGTTTTCCGATTCCAGCGAGCGGTATTTCTGGTTTTAGAAAGAGAGAGAGAGAGAGAGAGAGAGAGAGAAGAGGTGCAAAGTAGCAACAGTGGGACAGCGTCTTTTGTCTATGTTATACTGTTGTCCCACTTTACAGTTCGTGCGTTTCCTTTAAAAGTCTCACCTTCAATGTGAAGTAAAAGTAAGGTGCTGGTGAATCAAATTTTTGATGGTATAGAAGTTCGCGGTTTGGATTCGTCTGTATATTTGTAATTTGGAAAAAATTAAATCTTTGATTATTTATAGTGTAGGTTGTGATTTGTGTTAATAGGATCCGCAAATATACAAGTCATTTGTAGATTGAACTTTTTGCTTTAAAAACTTATTCATGATGTAATGCTCAACAATATAATTAAAATAATATAAATAAAATAAAATCATTTTAAATTTTAAATTTATCTAAAAGTAATTTTTTATTAATTTTTACATTCATTCAAATACTAAAATGCGATAATAATAACTGGTTAGAAACTGAAATAAGGGCAAGTTTGAGATGTTTCAAAAAAGATAAAAAAAATAAAAAATTACAAAAAAAAATTAAAAAATTATTATTATTCACTAAAAGAAATTATAAAAAAATGATTTTTATACAAAATAACGGTACAAAGCAGCGCTGACGTGAGTTGCCTGTGCAGACTTTGAGAACAAATTACAAAGGTGGAGGCAAGTTTAAGAACGGTGTTGTTTGGTTTGTGGGAGCTCATCACGGGTTCTGTTTTGATAATTTAAACTGTTCAATATGTAGAAATCGTCGAGTATTATATGCCTGTAAAAAATCACATTGATGGATATGGCTAACTATTTGATCAAATCAATTTTGTATAAAAAGTGGATGGTATTATAGTTAACAGTTACAAAAAAAACTAACACGATCAAATAACTATCGATATCTGATCAATGTGATTTTTTATGAGCATATAGTACTCGACTAGTTCTACACATTGAACGGTTCCAATTAGCAAAAAAGGACCCGTAGTGAACCCCACGGGCAGAACAACACCATCCGATTCAAGCCTACAAAAGAGGCAATTATTTCTCATCTCCAAACCAACCCACCACACTGCCAACTATACGGCCTACCCCCATTAACTTCTCTATCCAGCAGCCCTCCAAAACGACGTCGTTTTGGAGGGTTTTTTTTTTTTTTTTTTTTTTTTTTTTTTCTCTTCTTCTTCTCAAGTGTGGACCTTGGTGTTAGCATCGGCACTGGTGGCGGAGGCGGCGGAGGTGTATGGATTGGTGGAGGAATCAGCAGCGCAACAACCCCATCTGGGACTTCATCATCTTCAAATCTCAAGAATGCCTACATTGCTTTGCAGACATGGAAATCATCAATTACAGATGACCCACAAAGGGTTTTAGAGACATGGGTTGGGTCAAATGTGTGTTCTTACAAAGGCACACTTGTCAAAGAACTCTCTTTCCTCACTGATCTATCTCTTCTTCACTTAAACAGTAATAGATTCACAGGCACAGTCCCAAACACTTTCCGATACCTCTCATCACTCAAAGAGTTGGACCTAAGCAACAACCACTTCTCTGGCCCATTCCCAACCCCAACTATGTTCATCCCTAACCTCCTCTACCCAAATTGGCTTGCAATTTGCAAAGAAATCAACTGATTGATTGCAAAAAAAAAAATTTACTTTTTTGCGACATAGTTGTTGATCTGTTGATTCGAAGAGTATATTGTTTTAAATATGATTTTTATTATTTTTTGAATGATAGATCTGAATAGTTTTTGCCTTAATTTTAAAGTTCATTCATTATTTTTTTGGATCTGAACTGTTCCATTCTCTCAGATCTGTTCATAAAATCATTTAATTATTGATTATTTTTTTGGATCGAGTCCTCTGGATCTAAGCTTAATTTTGATGGGTTTTGATGGGTTTTCCATTGATGGTCTGAAGAAAAAAGGGTTAAAGGGGAAGAAAGGGTGAGAGGGACTCTCAGATCTGTTCATAAAATCATTTAATTATTGATTATTTTTTTGGATCAAGTCCTCTGGATCTAAGCTTAATTTTGATGGGTTTTCCATTGATGGTCTGAAGAAAAAAGGGTTAAAAGAGGAAGAAAGGGTGAGAGGGTCAAAGAGGAAGAAAGGGTGAGAGTGACAGAACCTGTTCGGTTTCACCACAAATAGTCTGTCTTCTGCTGATCTATCATAGAAGAGGCATAGAAGATCATTCATTTCAGCAGACCGAACAGGCATAGAAGACGCCCCCTTAATCTGTCTTGGTTTTTTTTTTTATTATTATTATTATTTTTTTATTTAAATTGAAATTTCCCCCATTCCTGAATCCCTCTTCGACGCAAGATTTGATGCGATCTTTCTCAACAACAACAATTTTGATGGTCCATTGCCTTCAAATCTGGGGAATTCACTAGCCTCTGTGATCAATTTGGCAAACAACAAGTTTACTGGTTCAACCCCATTTCTGTCACTCTCTCTCTCTTTGCTTTCTCTCTCTAAATTTGGCAAAACAAAAAAAAAAAAAAAAAAAAACCCTCCAAAACGACGTCGTTTTGGAGGGCTGCTGGATGCATTATTATTATTCACTAAAAGAAATTATAAAAAAATGATTTTTATACAAAATAACGGTACAAAGCAGCGCTGACGTGAGTTGCCTGTGCAGACTTTGAGAACAAATTACAAAGGTGGAGGCAAGTTTAAGAACGGTGTTGTTTGGTTTTTGGGGGCTCATCACGGGTTCTGTTTTGATAATTTAAACTGTTCAATATGTAGAAATCGTCGAGTATTATATGCCTGTAAAAAATCACATTGATGGATATCGCTAACTATTTGATCAAATCAATTTTGTATAAAAAGTGGATGGTATTATAGTTAACAGTTACAAAAAAAACTAACACGATCAAATAACTATCGATATCTGATCAATGTGATTTTTTATGAGCATATAGTACTCGACTAGTTCTACACATTGAACGGTTCCAATTAGCAAAAAAGGACCCGTAGTGAACCCCACGGGCAGAACAACACCATCCGATTCAAGCCTACAAAAGAGGCAATTATTTCTCATCTCCAAACCAACCCACCACACTGCCAACTATACGGCCTACCCCCATTAACTTCTCTACACACTTATTTATATAATTTTTTAATAAATATTTTTTCGTAAAAAATCAAAAAGTTAACTTAAACATCCATTTTTTTTCTCAATTTTTTAGTCCAAAAAGACAAAAAATATACTTATTTAAGACACCCCAAACAACCCCTAAATTATTATTGAACTTTATCCAAATCCATAAAATAAAATAAAATAAAAACATTTACAACCTCGCAAATTTTATAGAAAATGAAAATTATATAATTTATTTAGTTTTCAATCTTCAAAGAAAATTTCAGTCCTCTTTCTAAAAAATTTCATCAAGAGAAAAAGGAAAAAATAAATAAAGGTTTTATACCCCCATTTTGTGGTTTAGAAAACAATAAAATAATTTGTAAAACAAATCTTGAAACTTTGTCCAAATACAATAGAGAACTCAAATACTGAGAATGATTCTAAGATAGAAAAAATCTGCCATCAACTTTATCTTTCCCTTTTGCAAAATTTACAAGAAAATTTGACAGTCTAGATTTTTTTTAAAAAACGTACAAAGATTCGAACGGACAAGTGTTGGTGTGGGTAAAACCCGTGACCCACTTGCAACTCACAAAATAAGAAAATCTTAACCTGCCTCTGACCCTAACGATTTTGCAAAACCTCCTAAATAGGTGTGAGCAGTTTGGGTTAAGCGATTTTGGCAGATTAGATAACCCTATAAATTACGCTTTGCTCCTTTTGGTTTATTTTGGCAACTAAGAAAAAAGTCAGCTTATTGACTTATTTAGGTCACATTATCTCTCTATTTTTTTTCTTCATATTTAAAAAAAAAAACCCCAAAAAGTTTGTGTTTTTTCTTATTTCCCAAGATAGACCAAGTTTATTTTTTCTCTCTCCATTCATGTTTCAAGTTTTTTTTACAATTTACTCCTAAAGTTAAAATCTGTTAAAAAATTTTGGCAACTAAGAAAAAAGTCAGCTTATTGACTTATTTAGGTCACATTATCTCTCTATTTTTTTTCTTCATATTTAAAAAAAAAAAAACCCCAAAAAGTTTGTGTTTTTTCTTATTTCCCAAGATAGACCAAGTTTATTTTTTCTCACTCTCCATTCATGTTTCAAGTTTTTTTTACAGTTTACTCCTAAAGTTAAAATCTGTTAAAAATTAAATAAAAAATGACATAATAAAAGTCACGTGACATAAAAATATTTTACTACATATAACTCACATATCTAACATAAACTTAAATTATAATATAATAATATATATTTTTTTATGTAATGTGACAATTATTATGATATTTTTCATCTAATTTTTAAATATAAATTAGTTTTGGAAGTAAACTAGAAAAAACTTGAAACAAAAAGGACAACACTGAGAAAAAATAAATTTTAAGGGTCAAAGTGAGAAAATGATTAAACATAAAGGATGCAAAATGTAATTTAACCTTAAAGAATTCCTTTTTTTTAAAAAAAAAAAACCTTTTAAAGTTTAGTAAATTTTATTTCACTTTTTTTTTTACTACTTTGATTTTCAAATTTTTATATAAAAAAAAAACAAAATTGTTTAGAATTTTAATAAAAGTAGGAAAATTTTAAATTTATATGTTGAATAAAGAAACCAGACTAACCTCGCATGAGCACAATTTTCATTTTTCAATAATATTATGTGTACAAAAAATCATCACGAAAATCATATATGTGTAAAGCTAACTACACCATAACATATTGATTTTTTTTTTGTTTTTTTGTTTTTGGGGTACAAATAGTACTATTCATGATGCTTGGTTAGAGTTTTCCAACAAAATCCCTTTTCAGAAAATTCTAATTTCTTGTTTTTCGTATTTTTTTGTTTTTACTGAATTTTTTAAATATTTTAAGCAATTTTTTTACTTTTTAGACATACTTAACATAAACATACTTAAAAAGTGAAAAATTTGTGAAAGAAACCTTTTAAAAATTCACTAAATATAAAAAATACAAAAAAAAAATACGAGAATTCCGTACATATTTTTGTATTTTTATGTATTTATTAATTTTTTAAAATATTTTTTCATAAATTTTTTACTTTTTAGATACATCTTAGTAAGGTGCATCTAAAAAAGTATAAAAAATTGCTTAAAATATTAAAAAAATTCAGTAAAAACAAAAAAATAAAAAAATTCAGTTTTCAAAAAAGTTAATCCAAAAAACTCAAACCAAATACACTTATTGTTTTTTATATTTTTAAAATGATTTTGTTCACAATTTCATTAATAATAGGGATTTTTTTTAATTTCATCCTTCTGCTTGATATTTCACATTGTAAAAGTTTCAAAAACAAAAAAAATATGGTCATTACCCAGTGTTGGTCCTTGTTAAAATATTTTTACTTGGTGATAAGTTCTTTCTTGGCCAATTTTATTTATTGGCCTTTTTTTTTAAAGTTCTTCAAACTGTATATTCTCAATATAGAGGCCATTGAATCTCATGGAGAGGAACGTGATATAAAATATGGAGGTCAAGTAAAGTCCGGATTAAGTTAAATCATCAAAATATTCTGAACTTTGATTATTTACATCATACAAGTCCATGTGTAATGATTTCAAACAAACATGTGATAATTCTAAACATATAAAATCCTAAGGGGTTGAATGATAATTCCAAACGAGGCCTTAGTATGTATACTAAAGACATTGTTAACAATATCGATATCAAAATTACTAATCTCAAAATTAATAATCTCCCGTAATCATGTTGAACTAATGTTGAGGAAAATATAACTAATAACAGATTGTACAAAATGTTTGTTGTTAAACTTGGATCTACATTCTTATTATATATATATATATATATATATATAAACTACTTGCTCCTAAAAATAAAAATATTTTCTTAAGCTTAGCGACCTAATCTTTTATTTGAAGTTGCTAATGACAACCTAAGCTTAAGCCTAGCAACAAAACCATTTTCTTAAATTTTCATTCATTCCTTCTTTTGCAAGGAGAAGGTTGGAGTTCAACTCCCCCTAACTACAAATCTAATGACTAATTACTGACTTTCGTCGATCAAAATTAAATAAAAAATCACCATCACCGGCTATCTCTCACCTTTAGCCATCGTTAGCAACTACTACCGACCACTATCAACCATTATCCATTGGCAACAACCATCTTCTACTAATATCAATCACTTCCAACCACCTCTACTCATCAACAATTACATTCAACCACTGCAATTACCGAGTCCCTCCAACCAGCGCTGACTTGTTTTCAAAACAATTTGTTGAGACAAGTATAACTCAATTTTTTGTTTTTCATTTTTCATCAAAAATAAACATAACATATTTAATATTTTTTATAAACGAAAAAATAATAAAGTGTAAACATTACCAAAAGACAAGGTGAATTGTTGGGACTATTTGGTTTTGCTTCAAAAGCAACTATTTGAAGTTTCCTAAAAGTTGGGTTCTTTTAGAAGAGAAAAAAAGTATGAGAACATTTTTTTTTTAATCATTTATCAAACAAATTTTTGGTATTTTTTGGAAAAAAAAAAGAAGCACAAAATGAAAATGATATCAAACAAGATTTTTAGCTACATTTAGGTTGGTTCAAGGCTTGAGTGTCAGTCCTGACAAAATATACATACATTATAATTCAGACTTATATTATCTGCAACAAATCGTGCTATTTTTGGCAGTATCATATGATACTTCAACATATTACAATATCAAAATATCATATTTTGAAAAACTTATTCTAGCAATTCATATGCTATATTAACCCGCAAGGGTGGCCCAGTGGGTGAGGGAAGAAAACCTGGGGTCTGGGAGTTTGCTCCTCCTGGAGGTCCCAAGTTCGAATCCCACTCCCCACGGGTTACTGTGCGGGCCACTGGAGGTTTGTCCGGTCGTTAACTTCAGGGCCCTCAGGATTAGTCCCATGCCTCGGCTGTGGGGATACCTGAGTCAAAAAAAAAAAAAAAAAAAATTCTATCAAAGGATACAATTGTGTGTACCTAATTACACATATTCACAGTGTCTTTAATTTATACTTTCAAAAACTTCAATTTTTTGCCCCAAAAAGAAAACTTCAATTCATTATCCTAATTCAAAATGACATTAAATAAAAAAAATATATATAATGGTTAATATTTTCTAATGAAATTCTTTCAAATTGAACTTCGAATTAAATTATTTTAATACGATGTTTAGTATTTTTTAAAAATTTGTAATTTTATTTTATTTATATACAAAATAAATAAAGTGGTATTTTTGGAGGCAATTTAATAGATATAAATAATTTTTTTTTTTTTGGATAAATAAACCAACTTTATTAAAAGACATCAAGGCGATACAAAGAATACAAAAGCTAGACTAACAAACAAGAAGCAGCCTAAACCGAAACTAAGATTTAAATAAATCAATAATCAAACATTCATCATGTTTAAATTTGACAAGATGAAGAACAACACACTCCTCGAGTCTTTTTTTTGTGCCTATCATGTTATTAAAAGTAATACAATAAATACCACACTATAATAAGAAAGAACATGTCAAAAAAGGAAATGAGAAAGTTGATAGAATGATATTTTAAAAGTCTAGTCTGAAAAAAAAAGGGGGGCCAATGTAATCCAAGCAAGTACATAGTTTCTAATAGCAAAACAAACACACGTGAAGAGAGCAATAGATTCAACAATGACCAATCTAGAAAATACAAAAGCATAGGCAATGATAAGTTTTATGAGATCACAGTGCCCTACTCACTTGTATATGTTGTGAAAGCAAACAAACCATCATTGTTTGGATATTTTCTTTCTTCTTGAATAAATGCTTGTGTGGACTTTCAAACCTGTCATGACCCACGTATTATTTATTTATTATTATTATTTTGGCTACAACTAAGAACTTCACATATATTATAGAATTGAATTAATATACTTTTCGTCCGTAAAATACATGGGTGTCATTTGATTCCGATATATCAATTGTGTCAATTTGATTCCCCTTTTATCTAATTTGTATGCAAAAGGTATACAATGCCCATTCGGTCCAAATTTTATAATGGAATCGAGGTTTTTTTTGTTTGAATCTGGACAAAAATTGACCTGGAAATCATTTAAACGCAAATTAAACATGTTGAAAATGAAACCGACAATTGAAATTGGAAGGACAAAAATGAAACATAGGGCATGCTAGGGGCCCAACCACTGGGCCATCTGCTATGTTTCCATTAAACAGAAGAAGAAAAACATTCCACCCCAATGAAATATTTTGCTTTCACTTCAATCATAAGTTAGTGGGTAAAACTAAAGTCACATTAGATAAGAGTTTCTCCATTTGGTCAAAGTCTTCAGTACCTTTATCCTCCTTGCCAACTAAAAATATGATAGCAGAACTTGACTTTAAAGTCTAACAGTAGCAAATTCAAGAATCTTTCTTTCTTTTCCTTTTTAAAAATAAAAAAAATTATATACATATATTGAATTGGAGAACATTCTCATGCAGTATTTTAACATAAGAACATCAAAAGGGGTCAAAGCTGAGATACATAAGTAGCAAACTTTAAATAAATAAAAAGGCCTAAGGTTCTGATAAAATTATATTAATTTCAATTATTATTATTGTTAATGTTTTAATTAACATTTCTGTGTGGTAAGTTTGATCTAATGTATAAATATATATTTGACAATGAATATCTACCAGCCAATGAATAGACCCCTCTACCAAGAAATGCCTAACTGACAAAATACTCAATAATCATTGATTACAACAATTTGCTTTCTATTAATTTATATGTCTCCCTTCATACATAAGCATACAGGTCTGTACATAATATATTGTACATGTACAGCACAATCGAAAAAAATTAAAAATAGCAACCAAACGAAGAAGTATGTGATTAAACAGCTACAATATCCAAAAACTAAATTCAATTCAGTTGACATCTAACCGACCTGTGTATGAAGGCGCCATCCATTACACACCCTTCACCATATAGACATCAATTAGCATCAGCAACAGCAGATGACTGTGGTTGACGAGCACGAGCAGTGAAACCAGCATACCAAGCAACCCTCATGAGCTGCATGCCAAGAATCAATACCCACCAACACACCAGTCCTCTAATGGAGTGCACCATCCACGCCGGTGCATTAAGCTCAGCCCCAAGCTTCAGCCCTCTCATAAGCTGCAAAACACGGTATGCTTCGTAGATAACAGGGGTCACAAGCCACACTGAGGACTGCCAGTGCCATATAAGCATCTCTGTAATCATCTGTACTGACAGAAGCAGAAGGTATGGACCCAATAAAACAGCAAACGAAATAGGGGGGAGTTGGGGCTGAAGGAAGCCCTTTTGGGAACCAAACATCATTATCAAGGGAATGATAAAGCCGGTTATGGTTGCAACCATGTTCCAGAACTGATAACTAAAAGGAGCCTTGCTGCTACAGGGTTCAGTTGGGTTTTTGGGACGTGCACAAGAATCGGCCATGAGAAGGAAGAGCGACGCGCCGAGGTTAAATATGCAGTCAAGTCCAGTCAAGGAAAGTAGGCTGGCTATGTTGGGTCCAAGGAAAATCGAAGATATGGGTAACCATAAGGTGGGGGCCATGCCCGTGGCAAGGAGAAGGGACGGGCCCAGAAGCCACATAGGCCATTTAAAGTACTGAAACTGGACAGATGACCGTGTCTGATCAGCTGCATCTGTAACCTCTTTGATAGTGGTTACAGGAGCTTCATCTGTCTTATCAGAACTCAGGGTCTCAAAGATGTTGGCAGTTTCCTTTAGGAAATTCCCTCCAGTATCATTATTTTCAGCATATGTGACGGGTGAGGCTTCCCATGGAGACAGATTTGTACAGCAAAGAGGGGATGGTTTAATGCATTTATGGTACAAGGTGTGGCGATGCTGTAGATTTGGGTATCTCAACAATTTCAGGCTCCTAGAGTGTATCTGAGTAATACTAATGGTTGAAATAGTAGGAGATTGGATGAAAGAAGCCATTTTGTGTTTCAGGAGCTGAAACCTTAGGAGGTTTAAATTGCGGCTTGCTTAACTATCTGAAAGAAGAAAAAATAAATTAGAATAATATAATAGACAATTATAATAAAACATAGATGTGTGTTTGGTTGAGTTTTGAAAATATATTTTCTTAAAAAATTAAAAAAACTAGATTGGTGAAAAAAGTGAAGAAAAAAAAAACACACATTATTTTCATATGGTTTTCTCTTTTGAGGTTGAAACAAATTTTGAAAATTCAAAAATATCTCTTTTGGTGTTTAATTTTGTCAAACTAGTTTCTAATTTTTCCATAAAAATAAATAAATAAATAAATAAAAAAAAAAAAATCAGAAAACAAGTTTTGAAAGAATCAGAAATCACCACCTAACATGATATTTAAAACAAACACACACGCACACACACAAAAAAAGAAAAGAAAAAAAAAAGCCATCCTCAAGTTCTCAAGCATGATCCTAAATGCTATAAAGTAGAGACTTGTTAAGAAAGAAATGAAAGGAGAATGCACTTGACCTAATTACTTGATGCAACATTGAGAGCAGTTGACAGAATCCATCCCCCACAAACATCAAATAGTTATTGAAGTCATCCAATAACATTATACTATACTTACCTGGCCTTATATGGCTTTACCAAGTAAGGCAAAAAATGACCATACACCATGTAAAATCAATATTCTAATTGCTAGGGTGCAAAACAAAATGTTCAACATTTGGCAGTAGTAAAACCCTGACTCCAAGATCTATTCTTTATGTTCAAGCTGTTGAGTTTAATTGCATAGACTTTAACTCGGTCTTGTTAAACCAACAGTAGGCTCTCTCAAGTTAATACTCTTAGTGGAAACATATTTCATTAGACACCAACATATGTCATTATACACCAGAGCATTTTACAAGGTGAGTAATCAACAATAGGCTCGCTGTAGTTTTGCAAACTAATTCCCTGTTTGAGCTTTTCGCTGAAGAGAAGGAACAAACCTCAAAGTACTTTTACAGCTCTGCACATGTGCAATTGAGAGTCCTCTCAGGCAGGCTCTTGAGCAGACTCCAAAAACAATGGCCTTGTTTGGTTTGTCTCTTGAGAGACAATTTTTGAGAAAATTTTTTAAAATTTTGATTGGTTGAAAATTTTTGGAAAAAAAATTCAAAATCACTTTTCTCTCTACTACACATCAATCAATCATTTTTTTCTCTCTCCTCTCCCCTTCTCTCACATCCTGCACATTTATCACTCACTTTTTCTCTCACACCCACATATTCAACTACAAAATAAATAAATAATAATAATAATTAAATCATCTCAAAATCCAAAACTTCAAAACATTCAACCAAACAAATTTTCAAATTTTGTAAACTTTTTTCAAAAAATTATTTTCCAAAATTGTTTCACAAATACAAACCAAACATGACCAATGGGTCTTTCAAAAGCAATTTTCTAGTGAAAATCCAACAAAATGTCGGGAATAAAACCAGGTCAATTGGTGCCTATGAAAAGAACCATGTCCTAAGTAATGCAAATGCTCCTGCAGTTTTTATCTTAGATGATTGTAATGGAGCTACAACTTTGCATAAGCTACACACCTGCTTCAATTGTACTCAACAAGCTGACAGCCCAAACCTAGCTACTCTTACAAGCATGGCCAACTCACAATGCATAGACTCAAGTGTTTTGTCCGTTGGAAACTGTCAATCTAACCTAAGCTTTCTATAACACCTACTTTAGAAAACCACTTTGAGCAGGTCTTCCTCCTAACAACCACATCGAGGGGATTGGGTCCTAACCTTTCACATTCATGACCTTTAGCTGCCTTTGATCCACATATATGACAGGAAAGTGGCTCTGATACCATAGTTACATACCTTTTCAAGATAAAATCAAAACAGAAAAAACAGGGAGAGGGAGAGTAGCCAACTTGAGGGGGCTAGGAAATACAAATCTCCAGAGAGCAAAAGCCCTAAATTTTGAACTGGCTTTCATCATTCTATCCAACCACACAGCATGTACAGATTATACATACCTATAAAAGATAACACCTAGAGACCACACACAAAATCAATAACTAACCAACATTATCCTAATTAAATATCAAATTACTAAAAATAGAAAGCTTCATCGTCGTCGTCATCATCCCCCAACCCCACCCCTCCCCTCATAAATGTACCAATCTAATTACAAGTAAGACATCAAGAAAGCCATTGTCTCAGGCTACACAAGCATACAAGCACAGCAGCAGAAGTGATAGTACTGGGTTAACAGTTACCATGGTCATAGAATAAATAGAGAACCAAAGATGAATAGAAATCATTCTACTAAATACTAGCACAAGAATCAACTATCAATTGCTAAAAACCAATTATTATGCAGCGGTAGGGTAGTGGTGAGTTGATGGGGAAATTCTATAATACAAACCTCAACAAGGCAAGCACTCTATGCCTCAGTTACAATCATTTTCAGTTTTTGGTTATGACCCATTGTGGTATTAATCCATATGCCTCAATTATGATCTTCTTGTGATCATTGGTTATAACTTATTGGGATTGTTATTTTAGTTATGATCAACTAAATCTTTGGTTATGGCTCAAGCAGTGTTTGGTTATGATTCATAGTGGTCTCTTTGGTTATAACTGAAAGTATTTTTGTCAAGATACAAAATGGTACAAACACCACAAAATGTCATAACTTGCATTTGGTCCACATTTTTTTGAGAGTGTGTATTGTAGAATCTCTCGAGTTAATAACTACCATCGCAAAAATTCATGGTGTTTTCACAAACATCACAAACATAATCCTATAAGTTCAACATTTTGATGCATACTCTCACTCACAAAAATTACACATATACATATCAATAGATTCAATACACAGATACAAGCATAAAAGGAGATTTCTCAAAGCAATTGGTCTTTACACAGTACAATCAATGAAAAAGTCGATAACTATGCATACCACTAACTCCAGTTAAACATAGAATTCGGAACTTTCGGCAAAAGCCCTGTTTGGTTGCCGAGAAACGGAAGGAAAACAGAGGAAATTCGCGGAAAAAACCCGGATTTCTCAGGAATCAAAGGGGGCAGAAAGTGCAATGAAAATGAAAAATCGATTCGAAGAGCGATTTAAAATTACGAAATTGAAATTGAAAATGAAAATTAAGAGTATAGTACGCGATCGAATTTTTTACCTCATCTAAGCAAGTCTCTCAAATCGAGATTGATCGGTTGTTCCAAAATATTTTGCGATGATTTACTTCTAGTCAGCCGTTATTGAGAAGGGTAATGCTCGGGTAAACCAAATTCCCGATCAAATAACGAATTTCCTATCACATACATGAGAGATTTGTAATTTTATGGACTAATACGTGAGACATTTAGGTCAAGTTTGGCTATTCTAAATAAGTACATATTTTTTATCTTTTTATTTTTTTTTATCATATCATCTCTCTATTTTTTTATACATCTTTTCATAAAAAGATAAAAAGTACACTTATTTAAGTCATCACAAATAACCCTTTACTCATTTATTTGATAGAAAATTTGAAGAGTATAGTATTTTTTTTATTTATGTTAGATTTGACATCTCTTAAAAAAGTCAAAAAATTAAAAAATTACTATCTTATTTAAGGTCAAGTTTGACATCTTTTAAAAAAGTCAAAAAGTTACTCAAAAAGTTAAAAAGTTATCACTATTCACCAAAAAAATATTAAAAAATTAATTTTCTACACATCCATACAACTCAACAATCATGAAAAATCTGGCGCTGTGCAGCGTTGGTTGAATACTATTGCACATTTTGGGTGTAATTTTCATATATTACTGTTTGGCTTGTGGGGGCCCATCACGGGTCGTGTTTTGATAATCTGAACCGTGTAATGTGTAGAACTCATTGAATACTATATGTCTATAAAAAATCACATTGATTGGATATCGATAACTATATGATCAAATCAGTTTGTATAAAAAAAATAGATGGTGTTATAATTAACAATTGAAAAAAAAAACAAACCTGATCAAATAGCTATCGATATCTGATCAACGTGATTTTTTATAAACATATAGTATTCGACGAGTTCTACACATTGATGGTTCAGATTATCAAAATGGGACCCGTAATGACCCCCACGGCCGAACAAAACCGTCCAATGCAATGCCCAAAAAGTAGCCAATAATTTCTTACATCATTTCGGCCATGCAGATTGTACAGCTGTGGCCCATACATCTCTAATCTTCTCCTACACACTTTTTTATACAATTTTTTAATACACATTTTTCTATAAAAAGTCAAAAAGTTAATCCAAACATCCATATTTTTTTCTTCAACTTATTAGTCCAAAAGACAAAAAGTGCACTTTTTTCCCTCAATAAGTCACATCATCTTATTTAAATTACATTACCTCTCTACCACATCACTTCAAATCCAACTCATATTTCATGAAAAGTTAAAAAGTGTACTTATTTAGAACATCTCAAATAACCCTTTAAAATAAATTAAGAAGGGTCTAACTTCCCTCCAGTCCTAGATCGGATTGGAGGGTACTGTAGGGCCTATAGAAGCTCATCACGTGTCCCGTTTCGATAATCTAAACTGTGTAATGTGTAAAACTCATTGAGTATTATATTACTGTAAAAAAATCATATTGATCGGATATCGATAGCTACATGATTAAATCAATTTTGTATTAAAAACAATGGACGATGAAAAAATAAACAGTTGACAGAAATCTGATCAGATGAAATAGCTATAGATATCCGATCAAAGTGATTTTTTACAAGCATACAGTATTCGACGATTTCTACATCTTAAACGATACGGATTATCAAAATGGGATATGTGATGGGCTTTTATAAGTCCAACAGTATCTTTTAATTCGATCTGGGACAGGAGGGAAACTAGTCTCAATTAAGAATGTCACGATATGATGCTTTTACAAATTTGAACCTGGAAAATTATACAATTTTTTTTTCTTCATCATTAAATAAATAGATCACGTGTCCCGTTTCGATAATCTGAACTGTGTAATGTCTAAAACTCATTGAGTATTATATTACTGTAAAAAAATCATATTGATCGGATATCGATAGCTACATGATTAAATCAATTTTGTATTAAAAACAATGGACGATGAAAAAATAAACAGTTGACAAAAATTTGATCAGATGAAATAGCTATAGATATCCGATCAAAGTGATTTTTTACAAGCATACAGTATTCGACGATTTCTACATCTTAAACGATACGGATTATCAAAATGAGATATGTGATGGGCTTTTATAAGTCCAACAGTATCTTTTAGTTCGATCTAGGACAAGAGGGAAACTAGTCTCAATTAAGAATGTCACGATATGATGCTTTTACAAATTTGAACCTGGAAAATTATACAATTTTTTTTTTCTTCATCATTAAATAAATAGTTTTGTTAGAACATCTCTACCATTTACTCAAAAAATTTATTAAATTTGAGTAAAGATTTGATGAAAAATTTCATCTGATATCATATGTTCCAATACTAATTTTTTAATTTTCATCAAAGAACTAGTTAACTGGGAAGATATACGTGTAGATGTACAGGCAGTCGTCCGCTTGTGTAAATTTTCATCAAACAATCGGTTAATTGAGAAGATAACTGGTCTGTCGTCCAGTGTACGGTGAAACTTCTGCAAAAATAACGGTTATTTGCAAAAATTTGATGAACCATGAAACCTCTTTCAATTTGATGAATTTTGTTTTATTTTTTCCTTATTTGATATAAGTTTTGATGCCATGGTTGAAGCAGAAAAAGTGCACGTGTTTCATCAAATTTAATTTGATGAAAAATCTTAGTAAGGGTTAAAAACGCTCTAAGCTGATTAATCGGTTATATTTTATTCATTTCATATTAGTCGGCCGGATACAACAAAATCATTCTATTACATCTAATGTACTTATTCAATCTAATAAGCACATTATATGAGAATTGGAAAATTTTAGAATTGTTTCTCTTATTTATTATGTTTACTACTTAGACAGGCTTATTTTGAGAAGTAAGTTAAAAGTTGACTTTTTTGTTTTTTCAAAAAAACGTATAAAAAAGTATAAAGGTAATATAATTAAAAAAATCAAAAAATAAAAAAAAAAACTGCTTTTAAGTTGCCAAAACAAGCCACAAAATACCATCTCCTATTTTTACTAAGAAATTGAAAAAAAATTCCCAAAACGAAAGAAAGAGCAAAAAAATGTGAAAAGTAAGATAATAAATTAAAATATTTAAAAATTGCTTTGCATCTTCTTGTGCCATCCAAGTCTATAACAGATGCCTAACGAGATGGCGTGCACTGCAATGTGACTTAAATGTTAGGGAAGATTGATGTCATTTTTCCGAAACTAATGGGGTCAGTTGTAATTTGGGAAATTGTCAGGGGAGATCCATGCAATTTGCTCAAACTATTTTAGTTTCCAATATTATCTTCTTCTTCTACCTTTTTTTTTTTTTTGTTGGTATTTATCATTTTTTTTTTTTTTTTTTGTTGAGGAATGCATTTATCATGACCTTACACAATAATATATTTGGTAGTAAGAAAATTTAGTGACTACTGCACTAAATGCAAATGATTTGAATATTTATGAAAAAAAAAAATATATCAAATATCAATAAACACATGTTTAAACTACATTTATCTTCACGAAAATATATAATAAATATAATTTTTAAAAATATTTATTTGATTAAGTTGATTAAATATTAGTAATTACATGTTTAAATCACATTATCTATAAGAAAAAATGACAATCTAGAGGCATGTGATTTTACTAATTGAAAATTGAACCCGCCCAACACATCCTATAACTCAAATACAAAGTAAGAAAGGATGTAAACAAGATAATAAACAACTACCAACATCCACGGACACATGTCCGGATCACTGTACAACAAGGGTAAACCTGGGATCGCTATAACTGGCAAACATTTGGATAGCGTAATAATATATAAATATAAAATTTATACATAATTTTTGGAGGGTAAACTATAAATACTTTTTTTGAGATTTGATTAAAATACAAATCATCCTTATAGTTCTAAAAATTACATTTCAACCCCTGAAATTTCTAATTTTATAACAAATCGTCTCTTTTATTAATAAATTATTAAGTAATTAACAATTTTAAATGATGTTAGGAATATGTTTCAATTAATAATTTAGGTAATTTTATTATTGTATAAGAGAGCAATTATTAATTTTATTTTTTTAGTTAATTCTGTTAAATAAAAAATTTTGATAAAGGATATTTGTAAGTTTTTAAATCGTAGGAAATATTTATATTTTAAGCAAATCTTAAAAAATGTATTTATAATTTATCTTAATTTTTATATATAATGATATGATTTGAAGAAAATCTTTTATTTTAAAATAAGACATCTATTATAATAATGTTAGCATATCATTCTTGTGGTGTTTATTTTGTATAAATATATCTCAATGTCTCCACATTTGTGCATTTAATGTCACAAGATTACGGTAAGAGGTTTTACTAACCCAAAACAAAAGGGTGGCTGCTGTGTTACTGTTGTACGACTATATGTAGGGAGGTAAGAAAAATTTTAAAAATTCATCCAATCAATTAAATCGGATTAAATTGGTCATATTTGGTCATCGTTTAATAAAATTTGATATGTGCGGTTTTTATATTTTTTTATTTTTGATTCGGTATCGGTTCAAGTATTTTGTACACCGAACTAAACCGAAATGATCGCCTCTACATATATTGTATTTATAATACATATAATCCAATTATATAATGATATTAATGAGTATAATAAATTATTAACTTTAATTAATTAATTTTATCATCTTTATTATTTAAGTTTGTAAACTTTTATTATAGCCTCGTTTGGGAACAGATTATTTTAGAATTTTTTTGATTTTTTACGAAAATATATGCAAAAAAATAGAGAGAGTGATGTTGATAAATTGTAATGATTTTTTAGCTTTTTGGCTTATGGTGATCTTAACTCTAAATCATTATTCTTGAAACCTCAATATTTTTTAACTTTTTTTTTTTTTTTTTTTCTTTTTTTTTTTTTGTTAATCTAAGAATTGAAAAGTATTTATGGAATGGATTGGATTGGATATGTTTGAGATGGTAGACAAATAACTAATTTAATGTTTTTGTATAAATTAGTGATTATATTTAAAAGTGACTTAAGTTTGAGAGGTCCTAGACCAATTAAGCCGCATCAAACCGAATCGTTTCAATCAGTTTAGTGTGGTATGATGGGAGAAACGATCTGTATCAGTGTTCAAAATAATAAAATCAATATTATCGGTTTAGTGAAATTTTTTACCTAAATACCAGCCGTACCAAAC